CATGTAGTGACTTATGTACTTGGCCTCAATAATATGATATCAATACTTTTTGTTATAGGAATTCACAGCAATCCTGTACTTGGCGTAGTTTTTTACACGTAAGTGTTTTTTGGGGGATAAGGAGTTGACTCGAGTAAAGAGTCTCGGCGCGCTGCGCCCTGTACAGCCGGTTGCCTGTACTTGGCGCGAGACTCGACCGAGTCTCTTGATAGCATTACCCCTGAAAAATGATAACCCTCTCTGTACCGTTGTCAATATTTCACTAGTCTCCTGGGACTCTCATCACATAATGTCGAGATTTATTAATGTCATAATGATTCACTTCGCATTAATGGCTGCTAAATAGAGACGCTTTCTCAAAAAATAATAACATATTATTTATATCAGTCTTATCATTTACCTGTATAACGATGTAATAATCATTGACCAGTTACGCGCCAGTCTCCAACCAATGAATTGCACCGAGTCCAATCATACGTAATTTCCACGAAGCATTTGTTACCTTCCAATCAGGTGTCTCCGTCGGTAAAAAGAGCGAAAAACGTGGAAAACTCCAAAGAGTCAGGCAAAAAGAATAAAGTGATTTTATAAAAGAAAATCAAGCAACGCTATTTTCAGCAATATGTCACCCGGGACATTTTCAACAGACTCAACGTGTCCTGGCGGTACCTACTTCCTGCAAGTAAGCATCGGCAGCAACCTGAGTAATTTGCTTCACGTCCATTTACTTGATAATAATGTATGGTTAAAATGTTTTCTTATTTAAAAAGGCAGCCACAAGGAAATAAAGGAAACGAGTATCCACTCTTGGCTTAATAAACTTTTCATAATCATTTACTTAACCTATGCAATTTTGAGCTCTGACGTAAGTATGGATTAGGTCTCGTCCCGTCATATTGTGCCATAATTTTAACGATAATTATTTACTCATTCAATATCGTTTCCCCTATCTCATTTATTTAATGTAAAATTTGTCTGATAATTGCACCATTTCTGATGACTGTCTTAACAATCATGATTACACTTGCCGACGTTGTTAAAATTATCCAATTCTTGAAAACATCGACGATGACATCATGTCTCTACAATTTTTAAATAACTTTCAGGGCAACAAGGCTGGATACCTAGTTACATATACGATATCGGGAAATAACTATACGTACGTCAAATAAAAGGTCTGTACACTGGTTCTATTATTTTAATTATCATAAAATATCTGTGCGACATTGATTGTACTTTGACATAATATTGATAATAGCCAACAGATTTCACCATATAAAATTTTTATATTTTACCCATATGATTTTAGCTAAATGTCTTTCATTTTCAGATAACGATTCACGATATCGACTTTTAAGTATTAACTGAGAATATCTCGGACTTGGTAAGTTGGACGCGAAGAAGCCGAACGAGAAAACAATGGCGTAGCTGTAGAGGAAAAAATAAAGACAAATGCAACGAAGTTTTCTTGAAAAAAGAAGGATGGAAATTGGTTGGATAACTGGTTGGCAATCATCCCGGGGAAACTTCTCAATCTTGCAGTTTTCTCGCGCCATGATAAGTATTCCCAAAAATTCAATCAGAAGTTTCTTACAGTTTTCCCGATTTTAGAAAAAGACATGAAAAATCAAACCATTTGATTCCATCAATATTATTCTTATCTTCATTCCAAAGCTTCTAATTACATAAGACTTAATTAATCATCCAATGACATAAAGTTCTTCCATGAGTAAAATATATTTTACAGGGCTTACCTTACTGTACCTATTATTATAAAAAAGTCCTCTGATCCCCATTCATTCAGATCACCACATTTGTATCATAGATCCATGTTTTAATCAAATCATCATTCAGCTCAAGTGCCACCTAATTACAAGTATACTCAATCAATATCCAAATATGAACAATGAAATATGGATATAAATTTCATTTAACAATCCTTCATTGTTTTAATCTTTAATTAAAACAGCTCAGCATTATATCAATCTTTGAATTATTTTGGTCTGAAATTCCTTCCAACTCTTAACGACTACTTCCACTTCCGCTTACATTTACTTCCGTATTCTATTCTCCATTACCCCATTCTCTATTGTTCCCACTGTTTCAGCTCTCCTAGAAGCAGTCCTGGAGGAATGTGAATGCAGCCTTGGTGTCTTCTAACAAGACTCTTTTTCCAGAAGTTTGAAACCATTGTGATCTACTTCAGACATGAGATTGTTATACTACACAGAGAAAAAATCCTATACGTATCTATGCAGATCAACATTCAAGCATACCTATATAGAGTAGGTATTGATCAATCTATATCAAACAAAACACCTATAGACATTCTTCTTACTAAGAAAGAAACAACTCAAGATCTAGATCAGTCTGCATATTCTAACATATATTTATTTTATATCATTATCGTTTCTTTTTCTTATCGGAAAAGCATATAAAAAGAAGAACGGCAATAAAGATTGGTTAATCCAATAACATCATTCCACATTACACTGTGAATGCTTCTCGTTAAACAAAAATTACATATTTGCACTTGTAAGCTTCTTTCCCAAGACACAAAATAGATTCTGTACATCTGAAATTAGTGGATAATAATATAAACGGTATAAAAGCCAGGTTTAAAAAATTCTCAATATTCTTGTCAGCTCTTGATGAAGAGTCTCTTGATGATTAATATTAATGTATGAATATGTGACATTAATAAGTGGGTAATTATCCAATACAGATTTCCTGAATTATCGTCTTCTGTTCGCTATGAAAAATAAAAATTAAAGATAGTAAGAAAAAAACCAGCCAGTTACTAAAATACAATGATTAATCGCTCAGTTGATATCCTTAGTCATCACGAGTACATAAAGGTGTGAAGTATACGTTTAATTAGTACAATAAGATAAGGTCAATCCGTTACCAACTAATGAGCCGATAGAAACATGTAGAAAATCTCGAAGCTCATTTAGCTCAAAAAAAACGATCATAAAATTGGTCTTGTCAATTTCGTATCAAAAGATTGTTCCCGAGTATCAATATTCTGAATCATGACTTAGTATTCCCAAATCATAGTTATCATACCGAATAACTTGTTCCCGTGATAAGTAACATATTGACCATTTTAGTAACAGAGATAAATACATAATTTCACAAAAAAGTAACTTACTATCAGTGATACAAACGTTTCCAGGAGCCTTATCGATTTGATATCGTTTATTATATACGTCAAAGTACTTCACACTGATTTTCAAATAATAGTCATTAAATGATAATTTTATAAGGAAATACTATTCGATATTAATGATTCCCTTTTTCATTTGATATCATCAGACTATAATTGTGTCGAGGCGTCATCCCACAAGTGATTCCAATGTCAAACTCCTATCCCCTGGCACATTTGACTTAGCTACGATAAGTAACACCTATAAGAACAACCGTCACAACATTTCAGAGTTTAGTCGGTGACCGCAACCCTTCCGTGCAACACGTATTTAGAATTTTCGTAATTGTAATCAAGAATACGGTACGTTGTAATTAAAGCAAATATTTCGATTATTTGATCAAATTAATTTAATTTACAAATAGTCAGTGAACTCGTGGCATACTTAACAATTATTTTTTAAATTATCTTTTTTTTAATACCTTTCACAATTAACGGTTTACGTACTCCCGGATCTTTTTTCCAATAAACCCAGAACAGTTTTTGAAATAAAAAAGTGAGACTCGCATTTTCGCATATCATTTTAGGATTTCTAGGCTCCGTTCTATTATTCTCCATATATCAGCTATATTCTCTCCCTGTTCTTGTCTCTTCTGTTCTCGTTCTCTATCATCACCATGGAGACCCAGCCAGAGAACCAACACATGCGCGAAAATTCTCAAGTCAATCCCACTTGACTCGACCTCCTCGAGGTCAACCAGAATCGAATTGCCACTTGGAAACTCACCGGTGCTCAGCAACCCTCTGTGCTCTTCTCTCTCGGTGCTAGATAATATCTTTGCTATAAAAATTAATATTACGTGATATTATTATTGTATGAAAAGATTCGCTGACATTCGCGTTGTCAGATTATCTAGAAACGGAAAAGTTGGCGATTGATACATAACTGCTGTCGAACCATTTCGTATTACGACAAGAAGTAAAAAAAATTATAATAATATAATTTATTATATTTTATAGAACTTAGCAATGCAACTCCGTACTGCGTACCTGTGCTTCGGCTTACTTTTGCTCCTGGCTGGAAGTTCACATCAGGTACGAATTTTGTCTTTTGGCATATTACACGGCGCTACAGATGGAGATACGCGTGTTTCCGGTTGACATTGACCTTACGACGGTTAGACTTTTTTATTTTTTTTTTGTTAATTACTTTACAGGCGACCTTGGCCAATGCAACATACTACGTTGGTGCCGTGGCAGAATATTATCCTGTGACTTCCGGTACCAATGGTACTGTTATTTCTACTGCAAATGCCAATAACTATGCGACCTTCGTCAAGAAAGCTTCCAGTTATGTAAGTAATCCAAAATAGTACAAAAAAGTTCTGAATATTATAAACTGACAGGATAATACCTTTTTGTAGAGTGCAGATATCATAGTCTTCCCTGAAGGTACCCTAACTGCTGGATTGCAAGAATCCAGCACGAATAGAACAAATTATACATCTTACAGTTCCTTCATACCCAATGAAAGTGAGGGCGTCATCCCCTGTGGCAATGCAAGCAGTACAGTTATCGAGGTTTGTAAAAACGGCTGATAGTATGAATACAATACATTTTTCCATTGTCACTCATCCAGTTAATTTGTTCCGCAGGCCTTGAAGATCATGTCTTGCGCCGCACGGAATTACTCCATGTACATCCTGGTCAATGTCAATGAGAAGGAGAATTGTACGAATGCCACTTCCTGTCCGAGTGACGGATATTATTTCTACAGTACAAACGTAGTATTCAATCGATCCGGGAGTATCATATCAAAATATCGAAAGTACAATCTATTTAATCAGCCAGGCTTCGATATCACCTCGTCCGCCCAGAATGCGACCTTTGTGTCAGACTTCAACGTGACTTTTGGCCACTTTATCGGCTTCGATATCACGTATAGATATCCAGCACTGTCATTGCTGGAAAACGTTAACGTAACGGATATCCTGTTTCCATCACGGTGGTATTCACAATTGCCTTACACGACAGCCGTGCAGGTGCAGGCTGCCTGGGCGCACAGGAACAACGTCAACTTCTTGGCTGCAGGTTATAGTGATCCCTCAACCGGAAGTGGGGGCGCAGGATTATATGCTGGCAACAGCGGCATCATAATTTCCGCTTTCTCAGAGTCACCAAGCAATCTTCTTCTTGTGGCCAGAATACCGAAAATTAATGGAACCCGTGCTGCCATTAATTCCAGTTCTAATTTAACGTATAAATTCGATTCCACTGAAATCACAACAAGAAACGTGTTGCTATCGACTCATCAAGTAGTCAGTCGTGAAAACATTTCACCTTACACGACAAGTCTTATTGGACTTAATAATGCTACTTATAATCAAACTATCTGCAACAGTGGACTATGCTGCAAGTTTAATGTCAGTGTTGTTTATAATTCTACTCTCGTTTCCAGTTCTAACAATTCATATTACAGGTAAGTGGATCGTTAATATTTTATTCGTACTCAATCACAGTGAGTGATTCATATCGATTTATTTTCAGGTATCGCTTTGCTGTTTTCAATGGAGTGAAGACATACTCTAATGTCATTACGAATGGAATTCAAGTTTGCAGTATTATTGCCTGCATTAATGATACTCAGGATAGCTGTGCTTACAGATATGACACCAATGCTACCCTGATTCATCCTACAAACTTTACATTCATTAGTATTACTGGAAACTTCTCCAATCAGACTAGCTACTTCCAGCTACCATACACACTCGCAACAAATTTGCTGCCATTGAATTCCAGCAGTTATAGTTTCGCATTAACTAATCTCAATTCTACTTATAATACCATTGGATTTAATTTAACTTCTCCGCAGAGCAGTCTTTTCACATATGCTATCTGGGGCAGAAACTTCGCTACAGATGGTTTATCTATTGCCACTACATCCTCAGCTGTACGACCCATACCTATGATTCTAGGAATTGTGATGATTATTTTAGGAGTAGGTAATATGTAATACATGTTCAAAGTAGTACTATAATTCTTATGTTCAACATACCCAGTATCCGTTATGTAGATAACTGAATTTTGGTAAATTACGCTCGTATAGTGTTTATCCTGGATAAATCCTGACATGTGGGTGATTGATGATAGGATTTAGGGTCATTGAGCTCTACGATTAATTCTAAGTCTCGTAACCAACTGAATATAATTGGATTGAGATCTCCTTATAGATCATATTTATACAATGACCAGCCAATATTTTGAGTATTGAATGTTTTGTGTATTTTAGAGAAAGCTCCATAAATCTATTAATGTAGATATTTGTTTAATCTATGGTATTCTATTTTGATTAATTATACTTCATAGTTGTATAATAAATCATGTGTTTCGTTTATTGGTATTTATTTATCGATGAATCAACTGCCTGACAGTCGAATACTGATCAAAGTCATGCTGTAATGTTAATAACTATTATTGTAACCGTATCGTCTCTTCAATTTTATCTATGACCTTTTTCCTTTATAAATAACCTCAGGCTCACCAAGTTTAACATATCTTAAGTTATGCGTAGCCATAAACTTCTACGCAAAACAATGATTTACGCATTACGTTTATGCACTTCAATTCTATTTGACCACATTGCCGTGATAGAGACTCTTACAAGAACACAGGGAGTGCCTCAGTATCTGGGAACTTTGAACTCCGGTGCAGATTCTAGACCAGCTGCAGGTTTTCTCTTGTTCATAATATTTTGAATTTTCTGCCATTCACGATCCAACTCCGCTTTCTCATTCTTTTCCTTGTTGTATTTTCTTGTTCTTCGTCCGTCTGCCATTTTGACGCCGTACTGGAAAGCTGCCTTGGGTAGAGCTTCTTTATTGTTCATATATTCGCTATATTCTTCGGGTGTGTCAAAGTCCCATCTACCAATTGGACCTTTCTTATTACCCAGGTCCATTTTCGTATAATCAACCTCATCATCAGAGTCATCAATAGCGTCTTGCATTTCATCTAGACCTGGATAACACTCAGCATATCCTTCAGGCTCTGCTGCAAGTTTATTTAGTAGAGTTCCTTTCTTCGGTGCACTGCCTTCGGCAGCTACTGACAATACGCTAGGTAACTGTGGAGCATTTGATTTGTCATCAATGCTAGTTTCTACTGGTTTGTCAAAATATGATGTCTTCTTCTTGTCTTTTGAGTGCGAACTGTCCTTTTTACTGACGGAGGGTATGTAATCACCTATATCTCCATATATACTATCGTCCTGAGGTCTTGATGGCGCATCCCCATCGTTTGTATCATCTATTCTACTTCTACCATCTTTATTCTTCTTTCCTTTTTTCCCGTGTCTGTTACCTTGACGCAGGTAGGATAGAATTTGAGCGAGTTTGTTGATCACTATGTCGTTTGTTGTCAAGGTAGGAGTAGCGTCTACTGTTGGTACATCGGCTTTACTTCTGATTAGAGTTGTTGGTATGTCGACATCAGCATTTTCATCGTCCAACTCAATGACATAAGCCATACGACCTGGAGTAAAAAGCTCATTTCTTTCCACATGCTTCGATTTCATAGTCATTATTGTCTTGTATACGTTGCGACCTATCTTTGTTTTGAATTGCATTTCATCTTCTTTCTTCTCAGGTTCTTTTTTCTCTATTACCTTCTCCTTGGGCTTCACTAATTTTTCCATTTCTTGTTCCTGTTCTTGTTCTTTTGACTCAATCTCACTGCGTACCTTCACAAATTAAGAGTACAAATTTAGTACTGACCATATTATGCACTAGATAAGTACTAATGGGACATTTACCTTTTGTAAGAGGGCATAATCCAATCCTTTCACCAAGTGAGTATGTTCCATGTCACCTCCCAAGAATTTAGACTGCTGAATCATTTGCCTCCTACGTTCAGCAGCATCCATACCAGATTTTAAATCCGGAGCAACAGCACGATAAGCACTGGCACTGCTCATTGGATCCTCAGACTGATAATCCTGATTTGTGCCATCTCTACGTTCACGGGCACGATCTCTATACTTTTCAGCTAATTCTGCCATTTTATCTTCCTCCTGCTTCTTTAACTTAGCATAGAAACTCTTTTTCTTTCTACGAAGCTCTGCACGACTACCACCACTGACTGTAGGTGTCTGTGCCGTCTTAGCACTAGCATCTCTAGCTGTTCCTGGTATTGAAGCTGGCGTGGTAGATGGAACTGAGGCTCTTGGTGTCATCAAAAGTCTTCTAAAATCATCGTTCGTCAGACGAACTGATAGACTCATATCCTCTTCTGCTGTTTCTGGCATTTTGGATTCTTGTATCCTCTTTTTTAACTGTTAATATTCTGTGAAATAATGTATATTTCAATCGATACTGTCATCTAATTCAATGTCTAGTGCATTGTAAATACTTACAATAATTCTTGTTAAGATTTACTGAACCACTAAGTTTAGGGTTAGCTCTCAGATTATTGTGAACAAGTGACTTATCTTCCTCTTATCAGAAGTACTATGTTATTAATTGAAAGAAACTCATTGACTTCTGTAAAAATATAGAAAGATTGTGTAGTTTAATACTGCCGTTACATTAAGTTTCACTTAAATATTAAATGATATAAGCCAGTAAACACACTAAAGCAGACATAAATAAATCAGTAGTCAAGTGCTGCCCACTGCCAATCCGACTGTAAACAGGAAATACGTCATCTTAGCTCTGTGACGTCATTCTGTTGTAGCAAAGTTTAATAAAAGTGAGGGATGCCGGGAAATAGGAATTAAGAGTAACAGGCGACGGAAATTAATAAAAATCTATTGCATCAATTGCTGTTTATATTTATACGTACAATTCGTTATTATATTCCAAAACAAAAAATATTATTATCTGCGATATTTATTTAGCGCATGGAACATTATGGATGGTTGGTTCTCCTAAGAGTGGATTGCTTACATAAAAAGGGAAGCTGTCCATTCCATTACAAGCTGCGCCAAATTCACCATCTTTATTGAGAGCGATTATTCCACCAAAAAAGTTCGGATAATGCTGTGCAATTCTGTCAATTGCAGTTTTGGCTGCTTTAGCTGGAGATGCTCCATGTCTCATTTCCTCCACAGCAAGAAAACTATGAGGTAGCAAATGAGTTGACAGTGAATATAATACATAAAATTTAAGGAATATCAATTATTAACAGTACCTTGGCACAAAACGCATCATAATATCACCATCGCCAGTTCCTGCAGCTGCACCAACTTCTTGATCGGCATAAGCACCTGCTCCTGGAATTGGGGAATCTCCTATTCTGCCAGGAATTTTATTTTTGGCACCATTAGTAGAAGTTCCAGCAGCTATATGGCCATTGTTATCAATCGCAATTATTCCAATTGTATCATGATTATCTTCACTTGCAATTGTACGCTCATCTTTGATCTGCTTCGAATCAGTTATAGGGTGATAAGGGCCACATGATTTTGTGGGATCTGGCTCTACATTCTTAATCAAACATTATTTAGTGATTATTTTAGGCAATTATTAAGTGAATTAAGTGATTCAGATATTTGTGTCAGATAGAATTCTCTGGTTACCTTACGAAAATTTGGTTGACATTTATTTTCTTTCCATTTTAGCCACATATTTCTCGACTCGGCTGTTTCCAAAGATTCTTTTTGAAATCCCATTTCAAGGGCAAATTGCATAGCTTGTTCGCCTCCAAGTAAAGTATGTCTAGTATTATCCAAAACCTTTCTAGCCACAGATATAGCATTTTTAATATTCCTCAATCCTCCTACAGCTCCAACATCCATCTTCACCCTTGATAAGTTTAAAAATAAGGTGATCTTATAAATTGCTGGATGTAAAAATAAAAATAAAACGAATATTACCCATCCATAATCATTGCATCTAAAGTGGTCTCGCCTTGTTCATCAGGGCTGCCTCCAAACCCAACTGTTGTTCGACATTGCATACTTTCACATTTAGTACAACCTTCTTCAATGGCATCTAAGGCACTTCGTCCTTGTTCATTAATTACATCCCATGCTAAAAAAACATTAATTATGAATAAATCTTGTTCAAAAACATAAATTTATAAAAATTTACCTGTATGAGAAGCATTTAAGTAATTCCAGGTAATAACAACTATGGGTATATTCTTGCTTTCAAAAACTGTTAAACTTGAAGAGAAGGAATTCCATCTCAAGACACAATAGAGAATCGTAAGACCAAACAGCTTCATCTTTCCTAGTTTACTAGACAACTATCCTGGAACTGAAGAAGTTGTCGTTTTCCACTGGATATCATATACAAAGTAAACACACAATTGGTAGCTAACAATGGAAAGTGATTTCTGCAACTGAAAGATATTTATGTATAAACAGGTCAAGTAAATATTCAGTTCTTTCTATCAGCTACTGCAAATGTTCTCCTTATAAATTGATAGTGGACGTTGTAAGATAATGGGTCAGATGGGTCAAACCTGCTTAAAGCAGATAAATACCATGAAAACTTGGAGTTCTCAGAAATTAAGGTAGTGCAGTAGAGTTTAGCTGAAATCAAATCCATAGCCATATACAATTTGTTAAATTTCATAAAACAAATAAAAAAATATATTAATAATGTGAATTTAATACTGATTGAGCTCTTTCGATTAGGCATTAAAAAATTTAGAGTCAACTTTATAGCATAATTTTACCATAATACCTTAAAAACAATTTTCTTCACAAAAAATGCACACTGTACAAAATACAATTCATAATAACTAACGAAAACAAGGGCCAGTTTACCCTATATAAAAAATAAATAAATCTATAATAATTAATATAAAATGTCATTGACCTTTGCAACTTCATACATTGGTAGGAGCACGATTGAAATTGTTTATCTGGTTTGTTTTTAGTCTCGTTTATTTTTCCATTTTCACCTATTTTATCATAAGAGTTTAACCATCCCTTCTGTTAATTCCAAAATCACAAGATAGATGGTGTTAAATTTTAGAGATAAATTACGAATTGCATAACATATATCAGTCTATTCTATGTTCAAGCTTAAAATTAATCTTCTGGCAGAAGCTAATCAACTCGCCACTTTGTTCAATTAGCAACTGTCTTCCTGGCTGCGAAGTGTGACTGCCCTTTTCTTCTATGAAAAGTTGAAAAGTTCATTGCAATAAAAAGAAGTTGTACTTCTCCCGTGAAATATCGTCAAAGACAGTTGTCAGAATGTCTTTTAAGAAAGATCTGCGGTTGCTTCTTAAACCGTATTACTTAGTAAACATTATTATCAGTCTCTCATATATCATCTGCAAGCGTATGCCAATTATATGTCATTATGTTTTTGCACAAACTGAATGTGAACTCGATGGGGTGAGTTATGCGGTGATAAAAATACTTTACTTTGATATTCTCTTAATTGACATTACTTTCTTTGATGGTTTCATGAAACGGTAACTTCCTGTATAAAACATTGCACAGAGGATGTAATTATATGATTACTTACCATAGTAGTGCAATGAAGTATTTTTATTTTACAGAGAGAAACAGAGATCCTGTTTTTCTTAATAATCGTAATAATGATTAGAACCAGAAAGGCAGGAAGTGTTACGATGATAAATTACCTCTCTTCGAGTTTTGTCTATACGAAAGCAGCTAACCTGATTCTCTGGTTCTATGCTGATTTTCGTATGGGTATTCTATTCGGTGTTATATTTATTTGTAAGTAACTTGTACGTTATTGTTGGGTACCAGGTAACACTGATGTATGATTTATCCATTGCTATCTTGATTTTTTTACAGTTTGTGGTTTGATATTGCCAGAACCAACCTATCAAGGTCCTGAAAATGTTATTTACTTGAGAGGAGCCACTGGCTTGCAGGAAGAACTGCAACGAGACACAAGAGTTACGTGGCTTGTGGCATTTTACACAGCATGGAATCCTGCCTGTGTAAACTTTGCTCCTACTTTTTCGCAGTTATCAGCTGAGTGTGTCATTTATATTTCTGTTTGATATCATTAACGGTACAAACAATAGTTACTTCTTGCAGATATGCTCTGGAAAACTTGAAGTTCGGCAAGGTTGATATTGGAAGATATCCTGATGCAGCAGCCAAGTATCGAGTCAGTGATTCCAGTACTAGCAGACAATTACCTACGTTAGTACTGTTCAAAGAGGGAAAGGAGATCGAAAGGCGACCTTATGCAGACAGCAAGGGCAAACTAATTAAATTTCTCTTTACAGTGGTAAGTATAATTGTAACACTAATAAAACCATAGCTACATGTACCAAGAATCAAATTGTTTTCAGGACAACGTTAAAGCGGCATTTGATCTAAACAATATCTATAAAGATTGTAAAAATAATCCTTTAAAGAGGAAGGATAAGAAACCACTAAAAATCGAATGATCATCTTTAGAATTTTGAATTCTGAAACGCACATGCTGGTGAGCCGCTAGTATTGTTATCAAATGATTTCAACAATGGCTGCAACCCTATGAATTGGATATGATTAAAACGTTTTTGGCCATTGTTGCAATTGCATTCGATACCACACAAAGTCTAGCGCATTGCAGCATGATTCATGTCATTTTTAGTCATTTGCAATGAATTTCATGAATTACAGTCACACCTATCCAGTAGTCCTCGTTGTATTTTGTATTAAATTATAATTTATGTTACGACACATTAGCAGTATAAGTAACAATAATAGTAACGTAAACAATAACGAATGACAACAATATACAACTTCTTATGTATATTGTGAATATAGAGAAAATTACAATTCACACAAATTCTTGTCATATCCAAGATTTTCTTCCGTCAACGTGTCACTCTCTTGTCTTCATTGAAATTGATACAATTTTAAAATACCTATAAAACATACCTTCTATGGACTATTTACAATGGTGGCCAAAGAAGAGCGACTTCACTGTGTGCAGATTCTGGCAACCATTTCTGATATGCAGAGAGAAGAACTGAAATGAAGTATTTTTTTTTATAAACTTTAAGACTTGGTGTCTAATTCTATAAAATTCTCTGCTACTGCAGTCATATTTACATTTACTGTCCTCTTCCCAGACTTCATACAATTTGTCCTTCGACATAACTCCTTTCGATGCAAGAACCTTAGTAATAGTTTCTGTACGTGGCAACAACCTGAACATCGAATGACAATGACAAAATTTTTTCAAGTATAAACTGATGGACTATGAAGGCATAAAGCCATAATGAACAAGAAGAAAACTAACTTAGCCCATGATTTGTTGACGCTGCTTGGCGTTGACAATAACGATAGTACGAAACGTCGTAGTTTAGGACAAACTGCACCTTCCAAAAGAAACCTAGCAAACCATCTGATACCGTCAAGACTAGCAGGATACTCCAATTCCATAGCAGGAAGTTCCCACCCTGCTTTGCCAAAAGTTCCAGTCATACGACACATAACTTTTCCCATTTCATTATCATACCTGTCAAATATAGATTGCGTAAAGAGTATTTATTAACATCTTTTATTCTAATCAATATTTATGATCTCTGATTAGACTAACCTCGGCGGTGGATCTGTCAGAGGTTCACTAAGTTTGCACAAAGAGGCTGCGAATTTTGGTAGCCATTCTGGCTCAATAGCGGTGACACCACGCATATAAATTTTATTTGTTTCGTACACTTCTTGATACACAACCCATTCAGGACTGGTTTTTCGGAGAACACTCGAGGAATGCATAAATACAGGATCTTCCATTTCCAATGTCCTTAAAAGATAGGATAATTAAGAACCTACTGTTTAATTTTACTTGAAATATAGTCGTTGACTCTTACTTATATGCGTGCTTGTATTTTGTCTTATCTTCACCATCTTCCACTTCATCTGGTGATAATTTATGTGCTACCTGATCTCCCATTCCGGCCAATACTATTTGCCGTAGAAGTTTAGCCTCTATTTCGGTTGGTGGAGGCATTCTGTAAATATGAATGCCAGCATTATATTCAATTATACAATTAATCTAATTGATAGTATCAATTATTTGATTTAATTATTTCAGCTTACTCAGGATCAACTATTAGTTGTAAATCCGGAAGGTTTAAGATTATTTCATTAGTAAGTTGTTGCCTCAACTTTCTTACTTCAGTTATGGCTTTGTGTCTTAAACCATGCTCCTCGCAAAAGTTCAAAAGCTTCCCTCTCGATCCTGCAAATTCTGCAGCACCCACAGCCCGTATCAGGACCATAAGATCACCTGTAATAAAATCAAATTCTTGTAATCGTGCGTAAAAAAGAGCAACATATACTTTTCAATAATTTGTCTTATGATATAACAAACCCAGGAGTAAACTGTTGCCCATTCCGGCCCAACGACGACGAGTCTGCAACCATTTTGTCTTGGTTGATCCTTCCGTACTTACAGCTTCCACCAAGACTTCTTGGACCGACAATGCCGCTACTAGACACACAGTATATCTCAAGAGATCATGTTGCTGAGAAAGAGCCAGCATCTTTCCATAACGTGGTGCTACGGGAAACGCAGCTATACTGTGACCAAGACTCGTGACTTTTGCACAGTAGGCATCTGCAAGTGGTACGAGAAGTCGTCAAGATCCATATATATAATTTAAACGCTCATTACCTACCTTCCTTGGAAGGTACAGGTTGTTCCAAAGCACCAAGAATGCACAGTCGCCTTTCTGCTGATTTTAATTGCAATATATCCGGTGACGATGGAAACGGAAAATTAACAACTTTGTCAATATTCATGACTTTCATTTGTAGCAGTAAATCATCTACTGGTTTTCGTTGTATTTCCGGTACACCAAATTGTTCAAACTGATCGTTGAATACTGCTGAGGAGTACAACCTGCAATGAAAAATATTTACTAAGACTAATCGCAATCATTATAGATTTTTCATATCAGCAAACAAAACAATTAAACATTTACTTGTAGCAATGACCAGGGCCAGTTCTTCCTGCTCTTCCGGCTCTTTGATTAGCTGCTGCCTTGCTAGTATAACAAACCCGGAAGGTTGTTACTCCAGTGACTTTGTCGTATAGTCGACTTTTACAACGACCACTATCTACCACATACTTAACATTGGGAATTGTTAAGGATGTTTCAGCCACATTAGTTGATACTACACACAAGCGACAGCCTTCCGGTGGAGGTTCAAATACCTATTCAGCGAAGAGAATTTTTTAATATTCTTATCTACAAATATATCAAAAGATTCAATATTGAACGTACCCGTGCTTGCTTTTTACTAGGTAACAAAGAATAAAGTGGTAACACCCAAAGTGGCTGTGAAGTAGTTAAGCTACTTAATTTTAAAATGTCTTCGTCGTCCTCGTCCTCGTCATTCAAGTTCTCATCATCTTCATCATCGTCACCAGCATCTATTAAATCCTCATGCGTATCATCGGTTGGGACTACGGAATAGCTAAAAATTTATTGGTAAATGTATTTTTTATTCGCAATTATCAAAAAATAATTTATTGTGATTGTACATACTTGTCTAAATTCACTTTTGGCAATAGGATAGGTTCTTTTTTTCTTTTTTGTTTTAGGTAACGCAGTGCTTCTTTAGCCTCCATCTCTTCATCCGAATCTTTTTCGGTGTCCTTCTCTACTGCTTCTTCTTCTTCTTCAGTCTTCTCCTGTTTCTCTTCCTTAATTTTATCAGATTTATTTCCATTAATCCATTTTCTATTCCTGTAAGGAAATGCTTTTCGCAATCTGCGAACTACCGAGTTCACTTCACGTTGACCTTCACGATTTTAATGAACATATTTCATTAATTAGAATAATATAACTGTAGTTACTTTTTCAATTGTAAGAATTATCATTACCTGTAAGGAATATGAGAATGCCACCTTCCGGTAGTTGAGTGTGTATCTTAACAGCTTTACGTAAAGCCTCGTTTACATAATCCTGACTGGTCCTCCTATTGAAATGAATTGTTACGGGGAACTGGCGTGATTCCACATTTATAACTGGAGGTTTAATTTTAAAGAGTTTTGGATTTTCCACAAAATCTTCTACACGTAGTGTAGCTGACATTATTATGAGTTTTAAAGGATCCTTCCTCTTTGTACGCAATGGTACGATACGCGACAGCAGCCCAATTAATATATCCGTATAGACGCTGCGTTCGTGCGCTTCATCCAATATAATTACAGAATACTTTGATAGTAAGAAATCCTGGAAATATAATTGGAATTCATACCATCATGTCAGCTACATAAATATTAAATACTCCAAGTACGTACACTCTGTATTTCCTTCAAAAGAACACCATCGGTCATAAACTTGACTTTTGTATCTGGTGTGACATTTCCTTCAAAACGAATAAGATAAGATACTTCTTTGGCTGTTAAATTCATTTCTTCGCGTACGCGGCAACTCATGGACATGGCTGCTACTCTTCTGGGCTCTGTTATACCAATCATCTTATTCTTGGCATAACCAGCTTCATAGAGGAATTGTGGTACTTGGGTTGTTTTACCTAAAATATTTTAACATGCAATTCATGTTTGACTTAAACATTAAGTATATTTTTTTAGTATACAAGATCCGAAAAAATTGACTTACCGCTTCCTGTTTCCCCAGTAATTAGTACTACTGGATTATCGTTAATGGCTTCGACAATTCCTTGCTCTTCGGCTAAGACAGGAAGCTTCAATCTTGCTTCTTGAATCTCAGACTTACGATTCAGTGGTACAAACACCGCAGGTTTTCGATCTTGGATTAAAATCACAGATTTTTCTGGAGCTTTAGTGACTTTCGGAGGTTCCCTGATAATTTCACAAGATTGCCCATTATCATTTTTGTTATTATTTGTTTTCCCAATCTGCACAATTTCAGGACTTTTTTCTTTGTCAGTTTTATTAACTCCATCTTCATTGATGTTGGCATCCTTATTGCTACTATCATTGCTTTTACTGTCGATGTCCTCAATATCCTCACTGCTCTCTGAATCATCGCTTTCACTTGACTCCTTATAAAAAAAAATGTCTATTCATTAAATAATAATCTTACTGTATTACTATCTACAAAGATTAAGTCATTTTCTATAACGTACATTTAACCCTACTATATTCGGATCTACACTGGCATCCTTTTTCTTATCTGAATACAGCAGAGCCAATCGCTGTTTCTTACTTCCTTTAATAGCATTTACGACAATTTCACCATCATCGTCTTTCACAATATCCAAGTTTGTCTTATAGGCCTCAGTTTCACGAAAGTGACGCTTTAAACCTTTTGTCTGTACAGCCGTCAATGACACATACTGCTTTAATTCATCGGCAGGAACTTGAACCTTTGCAAGTTCTTCCAAAAGCGTTGCCCTCTGAAGTACAATATATTAGTCATAAAATATTTATAATATAACAAAAAGAATATCTAATAACTGCCACATACCTGAAGCTTCTTTTCCTTTCGCTCAACAACTTTCTCTAATTGTTTCCTACGTTTCTTAGATAGTAAACGAGTTACAGTAACTTTTTTATCCTTGTTTTTAGTCTTCCTTTTTTCATTGGGTAAAACCAAAGCATTACAATTATCATAACTCTCATTGCGGTGCTCAATATCAAGTGATATCTGCAGGAACATTTAAGCAAGTTAAATACAAAGATTGAAAAATGAAATACATCATACTACTATAATGAAACTTATATTTTAAAATATACACATGCCTTCTTTGTAGAAGAATCGTCAATCTCAACTTCTGGCACTCGCCGTGCTTTCCAATTGTAACCCTTTTTTCCCATATTCAATTAATTTCATGAAATTATTGCAACCACGAAAACTAGTGATAACTACCTGCCCTAACATTTAAAAGAATTTAAAAGGTTATATTATTGTGCACGTGCTGTCACTACAGTACTGCCAGAAAAACTTAATATAGATGGCACTGCATGTTAAAATCTAATTCAACCATAAGAGACATAACCATATACACATTAACAAAATAGTACCTGATTTACATTACAGGTGGCAGGATTCTCAACGACACGTTAATATATTAAATTCGCTCAGCACAAAACAGACTGAAATTCCTCGTCTATCTTCCGTCCCATTCTTACATTTCATAAATACCTTTTGCGAATACAAGGACGATAAAATATCATTAATCAATATCCCACAAATTCTTTCGTTGAGTAAATACAACTGAACTTGGATATTTCCATACATATTTGGTACCGTGCGTGACTAGTACTTTCGCGCTGTAGTAAATCAACAACTGTAGAACAGAACTATTCTAAGAAAAAACACTCGAGTTTTTATGTTATGAAACTGTAATATGTCTAGTTTAAACGATTTATCTCTTCTGTTCCTTTTTTTTTATTCTGTCTTCTTCTTGTAGCATTTCCTAGCGATGTATAATCAGTAAATTGTGCATGACCACCATTGGTACTTCATCTTCTTGCAGAAGTTACGCCATCATTAAAAAAGACCTTTTAACTGTGTTCCAAGAAGAGTTCTCAACGTCGAGTACATAGTTTCGTCTTGATCAAATATTCATTAGTACACAGAAGCATAACAATTCTCTCAGAACTGTCAGCTCATTTGAAAACATAGCCTTATAAGGTAGATGACGCAGTGTAAAAAAAATACAAGGGTTCTCCGTAGATATAAGTAAAAGAAAATTAAAAAAAAAACCATTCAATTCTTTATGTTAGAGCTGTTGACAGCATCAGTAAAATTTAATGCAGTACTGAGTATTATTTCTTACGCAAATCAAATTGAAATATAAAAATTTTAAAGAATGCAACAAATTAGCTTATATCCTCAAACGAGAAGGATAAACCTTTCCTTTTGTTTTGAGCATGACTAGTAATTTCGGTAGCGAATGAATCTACCCGAATTCAGCACAGACTGGGTGTCGATACGATTACAAGTGACAACAGCGTCACCACGAGTTCCGTCGGGACAAGTACAAACAGCAATATGGCGTCTTGGAGTGCACGTAGCAGTAGGTCCGCATTGTCTTCCAGTACAAGGATTCTGGCAGCTATAATCGATGCAAGCACGGTTATCAGGACACTCGCTATCGGTTAAACATTCACCACGTTGACAGCTGAACAAAGCGTTTCCAAGATATCCAGTTGGACAAGTACAAACTGGCCTCTCCTTGCCAGTATTGTCGTGTCCAGGTGTACAAATGGCATTGGCACCGCAAGGATTGGGTTCGCAAAGGTCACCTGAAAATCATATATTCGCATCAACATCATCGTTACCGTAACAGTTATCTTATAGTAATCCATAATCAGAAGAATAAAACAGTCCATCCATCTGGAAAGTGGACCAAGATCTCTGCTTACGCGGTCCGAATGGTCTACAGCTGACGAATGGGTCACCAGTCATGTCCTTGGGGCAGCTACATATTGGAGTGATGTCACGCAGTTCACAGTTGGCATTTACACCGCAAACACCTTCGCATGGATTCATACATTTCTGATAAAGACAAGCAGGTTTCCCACGCGGGCAATCGGAATGGTGAGTGCATTCTGGTCGGCAGGCTACATACGGGCTGCCCTGCCAGTTCTGTATAAAATTATATAACGGATATAAATACGTAGATTTCGTATTATTATTAAACATGTAATATCACTTTTATGTAATTTTGTCAGGCCAGCATTTACGTCATCTCTGACTAATACTCACGTTGGGGCAGGTACACTTGGCTCTGTGGTTGATAACCTCGCAATTTGCATTCTCACCGCACTTGCAAGGACTTTCGCACTTGTACTCGGACGTACAAGCTAAATGATTACCACAATCGTAATCGCTCTCGCACTCGTGACGACATCCTACCAATGGAGATCCTCGGTATCCAGGAAGACAGGTACATACTGGCACCTCGTTTATCACATTGCACTCTGTATTTTGTCCACATGGACTCGGCTTGCAGGCAGCCTCTGTAATATTGATTAATAAGTCAAATTCTTTTTATCGTTATGACAAATTGCATAATTAATCTACAGACTCGGTCACTAGACTCGTGCCGGTAACATTTCCACTATGTCTAGGATGTTAAAGGGATACGTACGGGGATCAGCAATTCTGCAGGCTGTGAAAGGATCACCGGTCTGTCCAGGAGGACACGAACAGGTCGGGACGTGGTTCCTCGTCTGACATTCTGCATTCACTCCGCACAGACCAGCACATGGGTCAACGCATCTGTTGTTCAGACAGGCCTTGCTACCGATGCAATCGTCATCGACTGCAAAATTATAGATTTATAATCTATGCTATTTTCAATATGCATATAATTTTTAATTATTAACACATTCTTATACTTACTTTGACACTCTACGCGTATGCATCTGACCAGTGGATCCCCCATGTGCAGATTAAGGCAGGAACACACTGGTCGACCTTCGCTGATCGTGCATTTCGCATTCGTTCCACATGTGTAAGAACTGCAACTGGCTGCAAGGATTATTGTTATTTATTGTAACTGTTGAAATTGACCTGAATCTAAAGTAACCAGTGATTTCATATCCTTTCAATACCCCTTTTCATGTATTGTAAATGCTGTGTGAAGTCCCACTGAAATTTCAATGCCCGCGGAATAATAATGGCGGCTCGTATGAAAGTCAACATACCGATTTATCATTACAGATACTTGGAGAATACGAGTGATTAATGATACGTATGACTGAGGCTTATTTGCATGATGAATCTAACATATTTCTCATTATTAGTTATTTAGCTAATTACAATCGCACCAGGTAGACAATTTCGAATGATATCGATATAATTAAATTGCAATCCAATAAGTTTTAATAACAATGTAGAAAATTACCTCCTGATACTATCCTTGAATAATATTGTCCGTTAACCGAAACAATGACGAATGCTGCCACAAGCAGAACTGCCGTCTGCAGAACCTCCATTTTTTCCAGCAAATCTAAAAATAAATTGATCACATAAAATATTGATAATTTACCTAAAAAATAACATAAATCTAGCACAGAATTTATCGTGAACTTGTACATCCCAGTAAACGCACATGAGTCGGCCGGAAGAACCTGAAAATTAAAAGTCGAAAGACTCACCTTACTCTCGAAGAATAATCCCAGGCTCCCCAGCTACCGAGGAGAATCGTTCGACTAAAGCTGAATACGTTGAGGATGTTGTTAAAAAGCCCGAAATCCAACTGCCCCACTCCCAAACTCCCAACTCAGTACGATACCCCACTTCAAATTCATTGAATATACCCACGCAAATCCTTGGATCTCCGGATAGAATCTCAGGAATATTCGCCCACATTCCACAATGGGTGTACACTGGTGTACACTCGTCTACCTTGCAAGATCAGATTTCTTATAGCAAAACACCTCGGCAGGTACCTTAATTGGTTGCTCGTCTTGTCCTTCTACCTTCCACCGTCGTGCAGCTTACAATTCTTTGAGCGCGTCAATACAAATGAGTAATACGAACGATAGAATTTTTGCTTTGCTTCGCGAACACTTTCGCAACTACCTCGCCTAAAATGGCTTTCACCAATGGCTATGATAACGGAGGAGAATATACGTCATGGTTATTTTTCATATTTCGTCTTGAACTTCCCTTCTTTCTTTAGGTGAAACCTGAATGAATGATTAATGTATTAGATATTGATAGTAAGTAAGAACCAGTGATGAGAGAATGATGATCTGGCCAAGTTCCTGGAAGGAGGATGAATCTTATTATTTTATTATTTTTCTAAATATCAACTGGCTTTGGATTATCCATTGGTTTTTCTTCGGATGCTAATTTGCTGCTTATGTTTTTTCGATGAACGCAGAATTCTGTGAATAATCGAAAACCGGATCAGTGACGTTGGATGAACTTTAAGAATTTCTAGCATCGACGCTGTTTTCGCACACTATTTCCATTAATGGCGTAGAGAAAGAGTTTATTATGTTGTTGGACGCTATTGGGGTTTAGAAAGCAAATAACCATTCGCTCAAATTGTAATTATGATTCACAAGCGAATTTAAGGATCGATATGCCTGTACGTCCATGTTATTATGTATTATAAAGCGTGGGTGGAAAATTGCGATATGCAAAAAAGTACATAGAAAATTATATAATGTTATGAGTGATACAAGTATTATTCACAAAGGGAACGTAAACGACACGCCTAAATCAAAATATAACGCAACTAACTAGACGTAATCCAGGATGTGACTAGTTATGATGCTCTATTTTTTATATTTTTGACATATAGCTTTTGAGTAATCAAGATAAGAGCAAGCTTTGTTTCTTGTGAAACCATCAAAGAATATTTCATGTTAACTGATTGCATTTCGATCACTAACCACGCAGATGCAGAAAAGAAAAAGCAGGACCGACCTACAATTAAATGATACTTGAAATCATGGTAAAGAGGTTTTATTATATATCCTAAGGTTGATTCATATAAAATAAGCGATTAACTCCTGTGCTCGGTGCTGTATATGTATATATATTTTTTTTCGTTTATTTCCAATATTTTTATTTTTATTCGTCGATACGGTGCATCGTATGTAGCCATTATCCCATAAATACGTTTAACTTCTTTACGTCTATCTCTAAAATCGACTTACGTCTACACTCATTTATGTAATCTTTATTTTATTGTAGGATATAGAAGTAGTCACGTCGAGCCCACATAGTTTCCTATAGGAATTCAGAGTTGCGCCGCTAACTAGAGGTTCCTTAGAAATATTTCTAGATGGGTCCTAGGGATGGCAGCAAATTAAAAAGCGTCGCTACGCATCGCGACAATCAATTACGATAGCTTGAGTTGCGCATCGTTTACCGGCGTGCTCTGCCGTCATTTTTATTCGGCCCAAGCTTCAAAAATTCCTCATACGCAGCAGCTATTACGTCATCCTCATCTTCCTCCCACAGCTGTTCCTCGCAGTCTTCGTTCTCGGCCTCACTGAAAGAATCGTCGGCGAATTGTAATGATAAATTATGGCGAAACATTTTGAACAGGACGTGGATAAGGATGGCGAAGTAACACTAACCCAAATTCTTCAGGACCAGCAGCTTCCTCCGCAAGATCTTGCAGGAACCTACTCTCCTCCGGTGAAAGAACATTGCCGTCAGGACCGTAGAGCACGGGCTCGTCAGGAGCCTGTGGTGTTGTTGATGATTGATTCATCTCCATAGGCAATGGTCGATGACCAGCGATTCGACCCCAATGACTACTGCGAAGCTGATGAACACTGTGAACCATACGACCTACGTGCTGATCTACGAGTCCGTTGGTGACTAGATCCGTCAAGGAACGCATTACGCGCTCGACTTCTCTACGATTGTTGCTGCTGTCTCTCTCCAGGGTGTGCCCAGCCAACTAACAGAAAGAGAGAGAGAAATATTAAAGTGCTCCTGGAGATGACTTTTTTTCCAAATATTCTTTCCATACCTTCAGTGCTTGGCATATGTGCTTAGCGGAATTTGGAGCAGGACTCTTGAGTACCACAGAGATCAGATCAACTAGCATCTTTCCTAATTCAGATGCTGGGTCGGGCTCCATCTGAGCTACAAGTTCTGCTAAAAACAATATCAACCCATGACATTTCTTCTCGACATTTGGACTATGCTCCTCTTCGCTTATCCAGGCGCGACTGCACGCTTCAGATTCCTTGCGGCACCTACACATTTTATATATTTAGAAAAAGCAAGTTTTTATTATAGTTTACGAGATGATACTGTGCCCTAAGATTAAGACTAACCGGGAGTATAAAGTATCTCGGACTGTAGAGGTGACTCTGTCTGTGGGCGCTGTGACTGTGTCCAAATGCGTACATAATCTAGCTCCACTATATCGAAAGTTTCCTTCGTTTATCGACTAGAATATTAAATAAATAATTGTTCAAGATTATTCATACACGTTAAACGATCTCGTCTATACATTTGTGTACCTGCTGAATAATAGCAGCAATGATTTCTTGTGCTTGACTAGGATTCTCTAGGTAAAGACTTATGGTATCGACAAGTGGTGCAACCAGAGAATCGAATCGACCAGGGTTTAAGGTCAGAGAGCGCATAGCGTTGTCTAATTGTCTGAGGGTACTAGCCAAGTCCGTTCCATGATCGTTGTTCTCACGACCAGGGGCTGACTGCTGTAATTAATGAGGTAAGTCTTGTTGTGAAACACTTTGGATCATTCATGACTGAAAACGAACCTGATGTCTGTTATTATAATCACCCGATCCACCATCATAGTGACCGTAGTCTCGAGCATTTGAATATTGATTATATCGTTGATGTTGATGTTGCTGTTGTTGTGGTATCTCAGCATTCTGCTGATACTGAAACTGTTGTTGATGATGCTGTTGCTGAGGATAATGCTGCTGACGCTGACCACCATAATGCGACTGCTGTTGATGATGCATTACTTGTCTCTGTGGCATCATCATCTGATTCGTTTGTGGACATGCCCCAGGCTGCCTTGCTAGTTGTAAACGATTTTGAACTGAGGGGCGTTGCCAGGATCCATCCGTTCCTTGCTGCATTTAATAAAGTCATACCAATAACGTAAGAACTTGAATATATATATATATATATATATATATATATATATATATATATATATTGGTTCGGACAGAATACAAGAAACCATACTCACTGGAGGATTAGAATAATTTTTAGGAACAAATTCAGCAGCATCCACAGAAAGCGTGGAATTTTTCACCATATCATTGACAGATCCTAAATACACATTAAAATAACATGTAACATTAATTATAAAAATTGACTAAAAGTCAGCTACAAAGGAGAATAGGAACCTATGCTTTGGTTTCCAAGTGCAGCCTGTCGAGGTCTCCTCAGTTGCTGATGTTCCTGAGTATTTTGTGTCCAGCATCCACGTCCTCGCCCGCGTCCAGCACCCCGTCTATCTCCGTCAGCATCGCCACTACCAACCCCACCAGCAGGATCCATTTCCCTAGAAATTCTGTATTCTTAGGTCTACAAATGAATTCTTTCTTACCACGAAACGTGGTCCATAATCATTTGTCTTCAGATATACAATTTCGCTGACAAAGCCACCAATGGATACTATATGAATTCTCCGAACACAAACACGTCCTGCATGCATAATGATCTTTTAGAGTACGTAATAAATGGTCAGTCAAAAACCTCTCAAATACTAACTCTAAAAAATCAGATGCGGCCTTGCCCTCCAAGGTTAATCCTGTAGCAGATGATGAAGATGGATCTAATTCCCGTTGGAGTGTTGAGTTCTTCCCAAAGTAGCCGATCAGCACACAGCTCACTGACATCAGTTCATGGACTACCCGTTATGTCCGTTATGTCCGTTAGTCAAGTCGGACACGTATCGGCTGACAGTAACAGACAATACAGCATAAATCGTTGTTGCCGAACTTTTTTTTCCCAGGGAAAATGCCAAGCGGCACCGGGGGGCGTGGAATGGCCGGTGAACAAATTCACGTCTCGGAAACGATGGCATCAACGTAGTTGAAAGTATACGTAGATGATATGGAGAGCGTTGTACATGCAACTTCGAAATGTTCACGATACAACAACAATTGACAACAATTCTATTCGGTACATCGACCCTGCGACGTCGATCGTATAAAGATTATACTTTTTTTTTATTCGGCGGCGCTAACAGGCGTGAACCTCACTATCCGCAACAACCCGCGGCATCTTTTGGGTGCGTCGTGGTGCAAATTGCCTCAGCGTTTTATCCGTCGGTTAATCGGTGGTTGTCGAAATATCGTCGTATCTTCAATGGATAAAGCCAATGGACTGTATGTACAGGACATAAGACAGGCAAAGCATGGTTTCCAAGGTGTGGAAGTTTCACGATCTGTGATATCCTGGTGCAAGCCCACTGGATGGACCAGGGTGAACGATGATAAGCTAGGTTGAAAAAGAGAGGACAGATGATATTAAATAATGGAGAGGAAAAAGATGTACTTATTGTGAATGCGTGGATACAACAGAGCGGAAAATACGATAGATACCTCGTGGAGTTGGCGAAAGGGGCGCCCTAGACGAAGTCTTCCTGTTCAGACGTTCGTTAGCTCTGAATGTATCCTCTCGGGATATGAGCATGTAGTCTTTGGTGCTGATGCTGCGTAATGTCGAAATTACTTGGGTATTTCCAACTGTTCCTTGAGATTTTCCTTGTAAGCGAGACGTCCTGAGATTCTTGCCAGTGACCGTCTGTTGGCTTATGATTCGTAGGAATTTACAGTTGCCGGACTCTTCCAGGTATGAGATTATCTGCAATGCCAGACTCAGACTTTCATATTAATTAGGGGATTCTCTGGAATTCATATTTGAGCACTGTAGCACATTCAATGATTCATAGAGACTTGATTTATTTAGTTGAAATAAGAAGGGTACAGAGGTATGTGGGAATTTTTGTCAATTTTAATTTTATTGTTTAGAATTTGTTATATTTCTATTTAAGGAGCGGCTACTGGGGATCGTGTGCTTGGAAATGCTTGAAGTTGGCTTGAGGGTTGTACGTGGCCAGGATTGGAAATGGGGAGATCAGGATGGGGGAGAAGGCCATGCAGGGACTGTGGTCGAAATAGGAAAGCCACCCGTTCCTGGGAATTCCGGTTCTTCATCTAATTCTACCGATAAGACTCCAGATAAAACAGTCATAGTTCAATGGGATCATGGATCGAGAAGCAACTACAGAGTTGGATATCAGGGAGCTTATGATATTCTTGTTTTTGACAATGCTGCTGCAGGAGTGAAGCACTCAAGTATTATTTGTGACGGATGTAAAAAACATGGAATTGTCGGTATTAGATGGAAGTGTGCACAATGCTTTGATTATGATCTGTGCACACAGTGTTACATGTCAGATATTCATGATTTGAGTCATACATTTCAAAGATTTCAAACAACGAATTCAACTGGGTAAGTTAACATTTAAAAACATTGAATTTACACAACTAATTCATAATAAATTTCTCCTTTTAATAACCATAGAGTGCAATTGAGTACAAGAGACGGTTGTACCAAAATACCATTGAAAGGAATTTTTATTGGAGCAAAGGTAGTACGAGGTCCTGATTGGGAATGGGGTGTACAAGATGGCGGACGTGGTGGGTACCTGCTTCATTTAATTACTTAATTAAAGAAAAAAGACATATCATAAAACAGCGAAAAAAATTACATCTAAAAACAGGAAAAACTGGCAGAGTAATGGACATTCGAGGTTGGGACAATGAGAGTGGTCGTTCCGTAGCCACTGTAACCTGGTCCACTGGTAGTACCAATGTTTACAGACTTGGCTACAAGGGCTGTGTGGATCTCCGTTACATAGAAGAAGCCACTTGTGGCACCTACTACAAGGAACACTTGCCTCTATTAGGACAACCAGTAATGACAATGTCAGAAGGTGATCAAAGCACAACTCCCAATGGTGGTGGTGTTGGTAGCAGTGCACCAAGTCCACGTCATTTGACGTTTAACGTTGGGGATAAGGTGAAAGTCCTGAAGGAAGTTGAAATGTTGAAGGAGATGCAAGCTGGTCACGGTGGATGGAACCCACGCATGGCTGAGTACATCGGAAAGGTGCGCCACGACCTCGAAAAAGTTAACGAGCCTGTCCGGTAATTAAAGAAAGGAAAATTAATCATAGATAAATGAACTTTTATATTCTGTACTCAGATTGGCACTGTACATCGTGTCACGGACAAGGGTGACATCCGAGTACAATACGAGGGCTGCAACAACAGGTGGACCTTCCACCCTGGAGCATTGTCCAAGGTTATTACCAAAGACTCATTTTCTCTTGGCGACATAGTCAGAGTAAAGACCGATGCAGCGGTTGTTAAACATTGTCAAAGAGGTCATGGGGAATGGATCGATGTCATGAGAACTGTAAGTTTATCGAACTAGCTGTTAATTACTAGAATTCCGTAAACGGTTTTCTATTGAAATTATTTCGACAGGCTCTTGGGAAAACGGGTAAAGTCATTAAAATATATCCTGACGGTGATCTACTTGTGGCACTGGAGGGTCATACCTGGACATTTAATCCTTTGAGCGTAAACTTAGTACCTCCGAGCACAGATCCAGCCAACATGATGCAGGGTGAAGCCAATAGACGTAGGGATCGATCAGGTAAGTTACCTTTATGGTTATTATACGATTATTGATATAAATAAACGACTGATTATCTGACCCTCGTAATCCTTTTTACCTGAACCAGTTGGCTCGACACTTAGTGAGGGTGCGGATATCGAGGTGGAGAAGCTTCTGCGTGATGCAGCACGTGGTGAAGCTGGTGTTGCTGCCGTACGCGAATTCCTCCGAAAATATCCAGGCAAAGTGGATGCTCGAGCAGGAGGTCCTGGTGGTGGTAAAAAAACCTGTCTCCAAGTAGCCGCTCACCAGGGTCAACGTGAACTTTGTAATCTTCTTCTGGATGCTGGAGCTTCCCTTCGTGCTGTTGACGAAGATGGTGACACTCCGTTGCACTATGCTGCTTTTGGGTTAGTTATCCCAAAAAATGTTCTATATAAAAAAAAGACTCCACCTAACTAAATGATTTTAACTTCTAATTATTTACTCCAGAAACCAACCGGAGATAATGGAACTTCTTCTTTCTCGCGGTGCAGCAATAGATGCTGTAAACAATGGTCGTTGCAGTGCGTTACACGTGGCTGTGAATAAGCAGCACGCTGCTTGCGTGAGAGCCTTGCTACGTCATGGATGTGATGTAAACTTACAGGACTCTTACGGCGACACAGCACTGCACGATGCGATTGGTAAGGATGCCCTGGAGATAGTCGATGCACTTTGTTCCTGCGAGAGGACCAACTTTACACTGCGCAACAAGCGTGGTTTTAATGTTCTGCATCACGCTGCTCTTAAGGGAAACGCTCAGTGAGTAGAAGATTAATTAATAAAAAATTTGCCAGTATAAATTAATGAATGGATCTTTTGAATTGTTCAGCGCAACGGAGCGACTGGTAGCCAGAGCCAGACAGCTCGTGGACGTAAAGAAAGAGGACGGATTCGCTGCACTTCATCTTGCTACATTGAACGGGCATCGCGAAGTAGCAGCTATATTACTTTCCCAAAATGGTGGTCGTGCCACGATTGATCTGTGGAATAAACGAAGGCAGACACCCTTGCATTTAGCCACAGCTCAGGGTCATTGGGCCCTGGTCGAACTTCTCATCAATCACAATGCGGATCTCGCGGCTACCGATGAGGACGGAGATACCGTTCTGCATCTTGCTATTTCGAAATGCAGACACCAGCCAGCTACTGTAGCAACTCCAGAAAGTAGTCGAGACTCGCCCTTTATTCATGCGGTAAATTTCATAAGAAATGTTTAAATATCTATACCTCCAGTACCTTCCTTTTGTGATATTGTCATATCTTCTTTTTAGATCTGGCAGGACCTTGCGAGACAAGGTGCAAAGACTGAAATGGCTCTTGCTTGTTTTCTTGTCAGTGTCGATACCACTGAACTCCTATTAGATCAAACTAGAAACTCGAAAGGGAAGACGGCTCTAGATCTTTTAGAGACGGATCCAGACGCTCCTGCACTGACTGCTCTTTTACTCTCTTATCAACCACACAGACGCAATAGCAACGACTTGGTCCCGTGAGTATATCTATCAGATTAAAACTACCAATGTCCAAACATATTTATATTATAAAACACAACTACTCGTATGCAACAGGTCCGAGACTGTTTCATCCGGCGGCAGTGTAGAGACACCGACATACGAGATTGAAACTATATCAGAACCGGAAGTCACGAATGAAGAATCGAGAAAGCCTCCTAGGAGTTCCGGTGGCTCTGACCAGTGCCGTGGATGCTCTGCGTTACTGACTCAGGGTGTAGAAGAAACTAGAATAACAGCCGGAGGCAGTGAGACATTCGTAGGCTGCATACACTGTGGTCACACGGTACCAAAATCTCAGATTAATCGAGGTGAGTTATTTTTTGTCTATTCCTATTTCAGTCTGACTAACAATGATTTTAACTGAAATAAAAGTAACATTGATTACACGTAATACATAATAGATGGCCATGGATTCAAAGATGACATGGCAGAGGGCGAAGACCGAAAAAGGGAGGGTCTAGACGATAGAAGAAATGAAGACAAAGCAAAGGACAAGGATATAGAAAAGGAAAAAGATCTGGAACGGCTACGCTACTTAGAGACAAGGGTAGCCGATCTCGAGGAAGCGAACATGTGCAGCATCTGCATGGAGCGTCGTAGAAACGTCGCTTTCCTCTGTGGTCACGGCGCATGCGAACACTGTGCCGCGCCCTTGAAAACCTGCCACATGTGTCGCAAGACTATAACCAAAAAGATCAATCTCTATTGAACGATAATTTATAACAAGCTGACATAACTGTCTGACACCGACTGTCTACTCGTCTACGAGGGATCCAACTGCCAAAACATATTTGTAGTATACTCCTAATTAGGAGCCACCAATCTCTTACTTGCTACTCGCGTAGATGATCCTGATGAAAGGAATTCCGACGATTCTTGCCTCTCGTTTGAGCGACGCGTGTATAAAAGACAAAAAACAAGTATATCATATACCAATACAATTGTGCCATAATAATGACATGAGCCACAAGACTTTTCTAAGACTTTGCTAATTCTACTTACGTTGACTCGTATCTAATATTCCTAATTGTACCGTGCAAGACGTCTAACAATGGCGAATGTCAATTGTGAATAAGGAGGATACGTTACTATTATTTTTATATCCGTCCCAGGTTTGTCTGGTGTCCAGTAATTCTTTCTTGTTTTCTTAGAATCTTTACATCTATTCGTCCCTGTTCTTTACTGTGTATGCATATACACAGTATATTCAAGGCTACTGCACCACCTGAAGATGCTTCTGTCCATTTCATTTCTGCTAATATCCTACAGGGTAAAATCATCTTCAGGCGATACAATTGTCCTGAAAAACCGTGTATATATATTTATATATATGAAGAGCGCGAGAAACGACGTTTCCCGTATACACGCGTCGCGTCTCATATTTTTAGTATTTGCCTTGAATATTGGTATCGAGCACTGTATAAGCGTTACTACGACTTTTATCTGACTTATTTTTTCTCGTTACGTATTTAAAGAAACAAAATCGGCACTTACAGGGTACATACGACGAGAGCTTGACGTTCGAATAGAATGTAAGAATCGGAAGATTAACATCCGATAACAGTTCGCGATTGAATCTAAATAGATTATTTTATAATTCTATCTCTTTGTCGTCCCTTTGTTCTCTTAACAAGTAGCCGTATTAAAGTCGTAAAAGTCTGTAAGCGCGAAACGTTTTTTTTTTATCGTGAAATCGCGTTTAGACAGATTCGTCATAATCCGTAGCCGCGCGACCGAAGATAAATATATCCGTGTAAGTTTCTACAATTGTATGTAATTTAAGAGGTAATTTAAAATAAATCATTTGAAGCTAAATATATCCGATCGTCCCAAGTTTAATTGTATATACCAACTTCGTCCACAACTCACAGTTTAACTGTATATACTCTACAAGACTGAAAAGGAAAAAAAAGAATTGCCACGCGTTACGCCCGTCATTCGTAAACGGGCGCGATAATTGCAAATGCCTACAAATTTTTCTTTTTCTTTCTTTCTCGCTTTCTTACTGTCTTACGCTCACACTCTCTCTCTCTCTCTCTCTCTCTCTATCTCTCTCTCGCATTCCATTAAATATATTCTAATCCAATTTTATCGTAGACTTCAACAGTCTTCGTACGCAATACACAGTAAGGATACTATCTCTCTCTCGCATTCCATTAAATCTACAAATTTTTCTTTTTCTTTCTTTCTCGCTTTCTTACTGTCTTACGCTCACACTCTCTCTCTCTCTCTCTCTCTCTCTATCTCTCTCTCGCATTCCATTAAATATATTCTAATCCAATTTTATCGTAGACTTCAACAGTCTTCGTACGCAATACACAGTAAGGATAACGTAAATGATACTTCATAACGATAACGATAACATCGGCATACACAACTTACATTGTCATAGATTCGCATAATTATATCTTACCAAAGATATAAAGTCGTACTGCGTGGCTCGCATTTTGCTATACGCGACCTTCTAACTTTCTGTTACTTCGACCGGCTGCATATCTCTCTCTCTCACTCTCCTTATATAGTATATAGTCCAAAAAAAACACCCGTAGATATGGTACATACATTTTTCTTTCTTTTCCAGTTCCCTCCTCGCTCCTCCCCCTCGCCAAAACTCTGAACCGTTTGCACTCGCCGCCTCTAGATCGTACCTTTGCAGTATATTTCGAGACCTTCGATTCGCAAGACGAGGCGGAAACGGATTTTACCTTGACTTAGCAAGCATTCTTATTTATTTTGGTACTCGATAAAGGTTTGATAATCGTATGTTACAATGTTGAGCCAGTTTTTCAAAACTGTAGTAATAATAGTAGTAATAATAATAATAATAATAATAATAATAATAATAATAATAATAATAATAATAGCAATAATAATATAATATAATAATAGTAATAATAATTCTTCCTAAGTAACCTAACGCAATATACTATAAGATAATATAATGTTATTTAGTACCTAATAAACCTAAACGAATTCTGACGTCGAGGCCATACAGTGGGGGACCTACCGTCTACCTACGGGAACCACCTGACCCCATCCGGCAAAAAATATATCTCCTTCTCCATATTCGAAACAATCGTGCAGTCTGATCGGTGCCAAAGGCCATCGTTTTGAGGACATCGTACCGACGCTATGGGGGTCAGAGATCAGACTATCGCATTATATGACCAGCGATCCCACCGTTGCTATAAAATATTTGAGGTTACAAATGACTGGTAGATCAGTAACGTTTTTCTTTTATTCTATGTATCAATTGTATTATCGTCTACGTAGATCCTCGAGACTCTGGGTTCTGGTAGTAGAGTTTAGTGGTACAAGGAATTGACGGAGAAGGAGAGGATGATGATGTTTCCGGGACACGTGATTATCGGGGTCCTGATCACACGTCCCTCTTTGATGTGCTAATGCAAGACTACGTTCGATTTTGCGTGGTAGCAGCGTGATGACGATGATAACGATTATACGACGTTGATGATGTTGACGATGATGATGGTGCTGATCATTATTTAGGTGATTATAAAGGATCCGTGAAAAGGCTGTGTCTATCTGTTTGTAGATAAGTTTGCAGTGGGTGATGATGAGGATGAGGACGCGGACTATGATTACAAGGATGAGGATGACGAACGTTAGCGGCTGCATTATTCTCATCGCAGTTGCGTCCTTCTTCGCTGCGTTCAGCCGTCGTTTGTTTTTTCTGGGTCTGTTCTTTTTTTTCTTTTTCCTGCTCGTCTATTCTCGACGACGACGACGACGTTGATGATGATGACGATGATGACGAGGGTGACGACGATAAGGAACGCTCGAAGTGGTCGCGACCGGTTCGTTGACTACAGGTTATTGTCAGCTATATCAGGTCCTGAGTGTAGAAACTATGATAGAATAGAACCCCAGGGCGTAGTCAACGTGTGTGAAAAGTGAAGTATAGCAAGCGATGCTTGCGTCCCGCCCTCTACTATAAGGTTTGATGGGTACGAATGGAAAAGCCTCGCAGTCGAGATTTCGAGGCATGATCGAGCGAAGGATGCTACTCGGATGAGAAAAGGGAGTAGTAAACGATGATTTCAAGCGACAACCGGTTCAGGACTGCAAGGCTGAAGCTCGGGCTCGTTCTGTGGTTCCGCGGAATTCGTACCGGTGGCGCTCGAGGTGGCTGAGCTCGTGTTTGGATCATGGTTAGGGTCAGGATCAGGCGTCAGGGCGGCCCACTGAGTAGTATACGGTGCTGCCCTTGCTTGTCGTCTGGCTTTCCTCTTGGCTCTTCTTTGTTCCATCACCAGACGCAATCTTCTCATCTTGCCCTTTGTCGCTTCGTTCTCCTTCGAAAGTTCTTCTGTCATAAGAATAAGAAGTTAACTACTGATGGAGTCAAGGGCAAAGAGCAGTGGGTAAGCGTAAGAAAGTTATTTATCTATTAGACCATTGCGTACCTGTTGAGTAACCCGTTGTCGAGGAGTCGTGACAGCCAGTAGTGCCGGTCGTAGCGTTGCTACCAATGTTAGAAGCGACTGCAGAGGATGAAGAAGTCGATTGCTGACGACCACTGGTATGCCTATGATGATGCCTGTAATGGCCAGCAGTCGCTGCAGGTGTGGCACAGAGTAGATCGTTCAGTATATGAATGATGGTGCTGATATCACGTTTCGGTCGTCCATGACGATCCTGAAGTGCTGGATTGAGAGTGCCGCTGAACGTCCCGGAGTAGACGCCCTTCCCGTGGTGATGCATACTCTCGATTATTGCACCTTGTCTGCGTCTCGCGTTTTCCTGGCGAACAGAAGACATTTAGAGATCGTAAAGAACACCTCAGCCATTAACCCTCTTGGAGACCATTTTCTCGTCCTCTCGACCCCCCTCTTAACGAAACAACATCTACGCATGACATGGATTTTCTATATTATTTTTATAATCGATGCATACTTTCACGACGAATTTAAAAGCTTTTAGGATTACATGCTAATGTTAACTTTTTTGTTAAATCGTTTCAGTTCTAGGACGGCCAGCAAGAGGGTCAACGTGCCAATATCCCTGCATAACCCGGTTCCCGGATTAGCGATACGCGTAAAGATCCAAAAGGGTGTATTCGCAGCTAACCTATCTATCACGTCGCACTGGTACATAACATGAAAAATCCACGATCGAGTCAATTGTGAGACGAGATGATTCTAAGTGACGATAAAGAAAAAAGAACCGAAGAGGAGAAAAAAAGCGACAGAGAGGAGCCAGCTGCGGTAAATATTATAAATCTGCGAGGTCAACTCGCGAGGTGAGTACCTCAGAGGAGAGCTGCTTGAGCTTCTGTGTGAGGTTGCGCGATGCCTCGGCGAGTGCCCGGGTGTCCAGGGCGGTCGCAGCCTTTCCACCATCGGCGACCACCACGGCTGAGGTACCAGCAGCAGCCCCAGGACTTTGCGGAGTAGTAGTGGTAGAAGTAGTAGTAGTAGTATCACCGGCACTTCTGCAATCTGCAGGGGTGCTCGACTGTGGTGAATGATGATGACTCGAACAAATTTTCTTCTTGGGCGACGTGCCCGGACTGCTTTCATAACTGGTAGAGGGGTCCGGACTGGTAGTGGAGGTAAGCGGTTGAAGAGGATCCAAGGACGGCTGCTTGTGCCTAAAGTGATGGTGGTGCTGGTGATGCTGATGATGTCGACGATGGTGATGATAATGATAAAGGCTGTGATGAGGATGGTGAAGATGCAGAAAGCGGGATTTACAGCTGGAGGTATTGGTCACTGAGGAATTGCTAGCCCGATTGACTTGAGACTGTGATTGAGTACAGGATGACGAGTGCACGGAACTCATTGGTGAACAGGTGGTAGTCGATGTGGATGTAGACCCCGTCGACGACGAGGACATGGCTGCCCGTTCCGAGCTGACGGGATTTGTCGTGGTCGTCGCCGTTGAGAGGCTGGTGCTACAGCTGGCCGCCGCCTTCAGTGCGGATGCCAGGCTGCTGATCAATGAGGACGTCCTGGCTACTGCACTGCCATTTTGAAGTTTGGTGGAGTTCGACGAACTGCCCGCCGTCAAGACGGTGGACCTTCTGTTCTGCGCCGTCGAGGAACCGTTCCCATTCGTCGTCCCGGCTGTACTCGTCACGTTCGCGTTGCTCCCCGAGGAGGAGGAGGTTGCCGAACTCGTCGTAGGATTGCCGGAGGAACCGGTTGCAGGTGTGGCTGGTGTCACGGTGCTCAATTGCAGCTGTATCAGCATCATGTGATCCCCCAGACGCATTGTCAAATTCAACGGAGCTTTCCCGGAGAGGAAATCGTTCACTTGAGAATCGTTCAGGCTCTCCAGTGCTTGCATTACGCTTTGTTCCGGTCGCTGTGCCTGAAAAGTAATCAGGGCCTGGCTCGATTGTTTTGCTTCGTTTAACATGCCAGATTCATATTTACATAATCATCCTATCGAACCGAACCTCCTCTACCATTCAAACCATCGTTATCAAACTCCATCGTACAATGAAGAACGAAACAATTTCAAATTTGTAGCCTCCGAATGGAAAAACCAAAGACGTACGGCCATTTTGACTACGCGATACAAGAGACGCTTTATAGGTTAACTCAGCATCTCCTACCGTCCTCCGTTTCGCTAGAAGACTCCGAACAACAAATTCTATTCCTGTACACGATCTTGCACGAGGGGAACGAGAAACCTGAGCTCAGATAATACTACATGCTGATTCGCGTCCGACCGTGCTCTCCGGTGCTTAACGGCTCATCAAGTTTTGATAAGGCAGGAGGGAGACCTCGACCCTTTGTCAGAAACAAAAAGGAGGAGCAGCGCATGCGCAGACTATCCAGTATACATATGCTTCCAGCTCGAGCGTCAGATGTATCGTACTGTACGTAAGATACATTATGGTATTTGCGTATGAAGAAAGATGGAGGTAGAAAGGCTGCGGAATCAATGAGCCCATACTGGAAGATCGAAACACGAGAAGACCTGCAGAAGAGGAAACCTCGCAGAACAAACCTCACGGGCCTCGGGCACCGCTAGATACCCCACAGCCTACTCGACACACCTAACGGACTTCCTTTGGTAGGAGTCCGCGTATTCGGTAATTCAATTTGCAACGGTTATCTCTCCGCGACGGAAGCGTATTCGTGCAAACGTTATTATCGGTACGAAAGTAAAGGAATCGAATGAAGGTGACGTAACGATACCTTGAAGATCACGAGCAAGCACAATAAGATTATCCCTAATCGAGGAAATTTGGAAAATCAACAAAATTTCAATCCCTAAATTGCACTGATGTGCAGTCAAGTTCCCGGCTGAATAATTCACAGCTACTTGTACTAAGAGACTAAAATATATACACGCAATGTGACTCCTACGAAATGTATCGCAACTGAATGCAACCTGTTCTATCCCACGTCGCAGGGAGGCGCGTCCTGGCGTCGAAGCATCCCACACGTTTCAGACCCGAGTGAAATGGCCAGGGCGCAAGAGGAGAAGAGGGAGACAGAGAATCGAAAGCATAAAAGTAACAAGCAGCAGGAGTCGAGGAAGCTCGGACCTACGGGGCCCTGTGTGCCAGTGCTCGGCTTCTCACTCCTACGTTATCCCGATATAGTCGAGTCGAAAAGAGTATCTCTGAATGTCCCACGTTTTCTAAAGCATTACACAGTGCGAGTGCGCAACGAGGCGACTGTACGTCGCATCTAATAAAGTCCGACGTAGACGGCTTACGTTTTAGTGATAGGCTAGACACGAAATATTCCAGAAGAAACAAGTATGATCAAAGCGAGAGGACTAGAATGTCATACCGACGTGTTTACAGAGAGACAATGACAATCGTACACGCCCAGACACGATATACGTCTAATATACGTCTCGTGAAATGAAACTCCCTGTAGAAAATGAGAACCCCGTGTGTATAACCTCCCACGGCCATCTGGATCGCGAGGCGAAATTCAACCGGGGGCCACGTACCGAAACGAACGTAGCAGTGCGCCCGGCTTGTCAGCCGTGAACGAGTCGCGTAGTGGCGATAAGCGTCGTCGGCAAGCAGCGTTGCCAGTGCCGCGCGCGGCCAATTTCGGAACCGTACCCTTTGTCTCGGGGAATCCACACGAGACGCCTACGACGACACGCGTAGGATTACGTGCAGTAAGATTTGGTGGAACGAAATTCAAGAGACTTTTTAACGTGTAATCGATGTTCTTTAAAGAGATAAAAGATAAAAAGAAACGTCATAGTTATTTCCCAACAATCAAATCATGAAATATTGTGACACAAAAGGTACGGTACCGTAGTCTTTCTACGACATTGCTCACGCCCCACCTCAGCCAACGAGAGAAACGCGGCTCCGACGTCTGATTGACGGAGCGGAGATTTGATTTCTCGTAGGTTATGTCACAGGCATAGGCATCCCGTAACAGTGGCTATTACCTATTGATGAAAATTATCGATCCTACCTAATACCGAATCGAAAGTCGGCCCACTTAACGATGATGATACCGCGTTGCGTTGTCCCCTCCTGCTTCACCGTTTACGTTATCCAGACACTACAGACACTCTGTATACCGACCACTACTGCTGGATCCATTTACATCTGTCGTTAAATGCCTTTACTTTGTCTGTTATTTTAAAAAGCTTTCTTACTTGTTAGGCCTTTGCACTCTTACCAAGGACACGAGGATTTCGGTCGTATTTACCGCGAACGACCGCTGAGTCTGGTGCAACCGCGTGAACCAGAGTAGGAAGGAATAAAAGCGCGATATATGGTGACCGAGAAACCAAGTGACCTGACGATACTCGTGCACCAGAGTTAACGGCGTTTATCCAGAGCACACAGAGGTACGACGTGTGTACCGTACCCTCCCCTCCTCCCGCCCGCCCTCGCCGCCATCGTCGTCGTGCACCAGGTCTCTTTATACATTGTGCACGTAACAGCGTGTAATGAGAACGCGTAGCCTTACACGTCCGGCTTGATTATATGTATATGCATATACGTAATCTTGCGTCAAGATAAAATATTAAATTATCAAGCACTTCCAATAGATACCACGAAGCCTGAGTTGAAAAGTTTGGTGAATGGCGAGGAAGAAGAAGAAGAAACAAAGAGGCCTATACTGGGTTAACAGATGATATGAAAAAAAAAACTCACCAGCAATCCCGTCTCCACGCTGGGCAGTAGAGTCAAGCGGCTGCCATCCTGAAGACGATTTTCCTCGAGAGTGCCCTCACGGAGTTGCCTGTAAACATTTGAACAGAGAACGTGAGTCTTTCGTCCAGGATGTCGGTGCGTCGCGAAACCGTCGGGTCCGTATCTCTTTCGGTCGCAGAGAAAGAGAAGAAACGTGGTCCGTGCGTCGAGAGGTAAGCGCGAGCTCTATTGGCGCGCCATTAAAATGTAGAATCTAAAGAGACCGAGAAGGGGGCCCCCTTAAGCGGCCATTTCCTTTTGGCTTTCGTCGAATAGCCCACCAGCAGTCTCTCTCGTGACGCAGCCGTCGAGACTAAATGCCGCTTTGAATCATTATCCCTGCGGGCTCTGCATGCCGTGGGCTCCAGGAGCCAAAGAGAGTAAGAGACCGAGTCGAGAGAATTCGCTCGAGCGAATAATCGGAGGCGAGCATGTGTACGCGGAATATTATCACCTGCGAGAAGCGAGAGACAGGATAGGTGGGTAAGACGCATGAAAGGAGAGATGGAAGCAAAAGAAAAGAGGAAAAAAAAACAAGTACCAAAGACACCTGGAAACTGCACCGGTGCCCGAGAGAAGAGCAGACTCCCTTCTCTCTTTATCTCCGTGTCCGGATAACTTTACCTGGAGCGTCTGAAATTCGATCGAGGGCCGCGCGTGCCCGATTTACCCAGGCACAAAGAGGTGAGGGGGGAAGGAAGGTAAGCACGGTCAGACCATGGAGGCAAAGGAAGCACCAAAGCAGCCAGCAAGGCATTGGGGTCCTGCAGGCATTCAAGGCAAGAGAGCACTGTCCGTCTCCGGGTATACGTATAATAATAAAATCACGTCCAAGCCTACGGAGTTCGCACATTTTTTTTTCTGATCCCGACCACTTGGTTCTTTCCCACCTAAGGCGAGCGTCCTGTGCTCCCGTGAAAGAGAGAGAGAGAGAGAGAGAGAGGCACACGTATACCAGAGACGCCGAAGAGAGAGAATCCTTGGTGTCCTTTGTTCGTCCAAGTGAGTAGGAAAGATGGTTTAAAAGGAGGCGGAGTTGGATGTCCTTGCCCAGAGTGCACGTCTCTTCGGGTGGCGGAACCAAATATACTGGGCACAGACGTCCCTGTGCATAGTATGCAGACCAGAGGGCACTCTTGATTTTATAGTTCACTTTATTTTCTTATTATCATTATTCCGTATCTTCCTCACTCCCACTACACAAAATCCACCATATCACCATCGACGATCGACGTTCCGGCACGACATACCGTTTCTCTCCCTGACGAATCAATCGATTCTCCAGCAGCGCTTCGCTTGGTTGAAACGCCGAGAGAGGCCTCCCGGACATTGGTGTTCTTTACCGACGAAAAGAAACGGAGACGTAGAGACTCTACGAGGCCTGGCGGGATAAATTTAAGAAAATAAATAAAAAATATCCCTTTTGCACAATCATCTAATCCTTTGATCATGCTTGGAGCGCTGAGCTTTATGGCGTTCACGGAGGAAGCGTATCTCTACGTGGGTATTGGATCAAAAAGTGTAGCTAGGCAGAAACCCCACGAGCGAGCAATAGGAGGCCTGACTAACGGCCGCGAAGGAAAACCGCACGACGACTGTGACGACATTACCGCTTGGAGGTTGCGTGACCTTAAATTACAAGCGATATCGATATACGCGACACAGGTCAGCCAAGTAAAAGGTGAAGAAAAAAGCAAGAGGAAAGCTGTAAAACTCGAAATGGAGAAAGAGGAGATTTTTTCGAGAGTGCACGTAAAGGCGGCCGCGACGTGGGAGTCGTGAGATAATTATCGTAGAGAACACTCCTCTCTCCCCAAGTGGGAGAGAAATTGGAGAGAACGAAGTGGGGTTAGTGACGGAGTCGAGATGAGTGAAAGAAGATTCGACGCCAACAGTCAAAGTGCAGCTGATGCTGGCCGACCCGCTGTTATATTATAATTTACAGTAGACCGACGGAGACGCCCGAGTTTGTGGGAGAGATAGAGAGAAAGAGAGAATGTGATAAATAAAGAGAAGTATTGGCGGAGGGACTTGGTAAGTGCGAGTACCATCGGGGATAATCGTTATGAGCAAAAGCGAGCCAGAGATAAACAAACCTCTACGCGGAAGGTGATGCGAAGGACGAGTGTGTATACGGCAGCGTGGAAGGAAAAGAAGCGTCGCCATTGCTGCTGTGGAATCAAATCGTTACAGAGAGGCTTGAGAATTTAGTTTTCTGTCCCTGCAGTACACGCCAGCGCAGTATAACCCAACGAGCCAGGTAGTAAGAGAGTATAGGTATATACGGGTTAGGTAGAGGACAACGTCAGAGAGACAGAGATAAAAGATAAGAAAGCGTGAGGGAGTAACGGAAAGGAAAGAGATAAGAGGAAAAAGTCTTGTCTAGGGTTTTATATTATGTTGCCAACGAAGAAGACCAAGGCTACGGCTGCTTCAACAACGACGACGTCGTCCTCGGCGACAGTGACGACGACGACAAAGACACTCTGCCGTCGTCCTACGGTTTTTAACGAACCATGAGAGAGACAGAGAGACAGAGAGACAGAGAGAGAGAGAGAGAGAGAGA